CGATATTCTCGTTAATACCTGTTTCTAACCATCTGCGTGGGTGCACGCTACGGTCAGAGGCGGGTGCGTGAGCACTAGCAAACTTCAAGCTGGACTAGCCAGTGAGTAAGGCGAGAGGTCTGCGCACCTGCAGCTGGAGCAGGGCTGCAAGCCTCCGGGGCACCAGCGACTGGGGACACCCAGGGACCTGGGGCCACCTACCAGGGAGACTGCCTAAAATCAGCTACTGCAGGGAGCCATGGGGCGCGTGTGTGTGTGTGTGTGCGCGCGTATCTCTCTCTCTCTCTCTATATATATATAGTATATATACACACACATACACGCACACATATATATATATATGTTCCTCTTGCAGACTTCAAACCTGTCAAGCTGGAGAGAAAGGACAGGATCAGGCCATCCAGGTCATTCATGTTTCCGCGAGTGCTGTGTGTTTACGTGGGAGCTCATAAAAGCACCATTTTCAGCCTGTGTTGGGCAGTGTGACCAGCTGCACGTATATATGTGTGTGTGTGTGCATGTGCACACCCCTATCAGGACTACATGCTCTGCCTCGCTACTGGCTGGACCTGGGGACACCCTCAGCAGCAGCTGCCTCACATCTGTCCCGCTGCCGGCTCCAACACCGAGCCCTGTCCCAGGAGCGCTTGATACGATCTGCTTTGCTTTCTTGGCAGCCCACAGTGCTGCCCTGCAAAGCGAAGGCGTAGGTGGGGGAGGCCCGTGAGGTAGCTGGCTGACCTTTGAAAAGTGTCCATTGTGTTTTCCAAGTAAATCCCCATTACCATCGCTCACACGAAGGGCGCGTGGGACTCAGGTGGGAGGACAGTACCACAGGTACCAGCCTATTGCTCTTTGGGGTTGGGAGCACCATGCTGGCATGGAGCAACACAAGATAGATGGGTGCTGGGCTCCTCCAAGGAGCAGTCACAGACAGAGGAGGGAGAGAACCTTGATGGAGGTATGTGTGCACATGCCAGGGGCTTTTTCTGGTTGTAATATGGGAAAAGAGCCTAAGAAATGTAGACAGGCCAAGCTGAGCACTAATGCAGAACTGCAGTGCATCCATGTGAAGGCTGCTCTCATCTCGCCTCCCTCGTGGCATAGCTGGGATTCTGCCTAAATTTCTTTGACCCCTTTCAGTCCTTTAGCTGTCAGCAGCCTCTATGGCCCTTACAAAAGGCCATCTCCCCTCTCAGCCCAACCTGGCACAGTAAAACAGCAGCAGCCAGAGAGCCTCATCACCAGCACCAGCAGATACCAGCCCAGAGGCCCAGACTTTTAAGAAGAAATAACCTCTACAGCCAGAAAGGCTCTTGGCCCACCCAGCATTAGAAGGGGGAAGATGGTCTGGCTACAAAGGCAATGCCACAGCCCTGGAGGGCTCATGGGCCTGTGCCTGGTGCCCCAGCCCCTGCCAGGAGATGCCACTGCAGTTCACTGGGGGGGGGGAGGGGTGGAGGGGAAGGGGCAGGAAAAACAAAGCAAGGGCTGACAGCAGGAAGGCCAGAGCATGCAGCGAGGCCCTGGGACAGCTGGGGAGAAGGGATGCCCCATGCCTCAGCTCCCCTCTGCACAGGGCTCCTAATGCTGCCAGGTCAGGAGCATCAAATATCCTATTTCTCAACAGGAACCATGAGTGGCGTTCAGCCCAAGGCTGTGCAGAGAATGGAGCCTTCTCAACATCCTCACCACAGCCCAAATCCTCTGTTAACTTCCTCGGGTCATAGCCTGAGCTCCCTGAAAAAGAAGTATCCTGAACTGAGTGGCAAACACCTTGGCAGTGACTGGAGTGCAGCTAAAGGCTGTTCTGAGGATAAACAGGGAACTGGGCAAAAACCTGTTTTGGCACTGCTAGGGCTCGGATAGAGCCTGCCTGAGCCTTGGCTGGCGTAGCCAGGCATTAAACTAGCATAGATTTGTCACCATCCTCCTGCTGCCTTTGCAAGCTGCTTCTAGTGTGCTTGGTTTCAAAGGGGATCTTATATTACTCTTTCAAGCCCGCCGTACTCGTAGCAGGACGCTTTACTGCTGCGCAGCTGTTTGCCAGAGAAGGGCCCCTGCCTGCACGGGGCAGTGCCAGCACTGCTGGAAGGTGTGTGGCAGGGGAGTCGCAGCAGGGAGGGGGGCTCCACACCACTGGCAGCAGTGGGCACGCAGGGTGAGGAAGGGCAGCCCAGCCCCTGCTGGGCACTGGCTAGACCCAGAGCCAAGGGGCAAACCCCTTACACAGGGGCAACTGCTGAGCGCACAAGCTAGCTGGGTGAGGAAGAAGCATGAGATGTCTGTGGCTGGATCACCTGAAGTCTGACATGGAGCTCCCACTGACCTGCAGAGAGACAACTGTTTGTTGCAGGGACCTGTAAACTTGCTGCCATGTACGCTCCGCAGGGGAAATAAAATCCTGAAGAGAGAAAACAGCATGGAAAGTGCTCTGCATCCTTTCAGCAGAGCATGATGAGAGGGAATCACACTCCTTAGAAGTACCAAGATAGGCTGCTGCCAGCAGCTGAGAAGTGGGTCAGATCTAAGCCACTGCTGCAGGGTCTGAGTGGAAGGAAACACACAGGGAAAGTTGTCCAGCTTTAAAGGGCTGCATGGCAAGAGGTGGGAGTCAGGCCAAGACAGACACTGCTGTTCTCCATCAGGTTTGTTTCAGATTCCCTCCCTGCACATCCCTCTAGAAGGCCTTAGGTGAGAAGAGGCCTCCCGTAGCAGAAACTTTGCCTGTAACAGATCCAATATGGTTCACACTAAATAAGGGAACTTGCAGCATTTCTGAGAAGCTCCAAAGATGGAAGTCATGGAAAAGGAGGGGAAATCCAGGAAGAACATAGGGGACAGGGAAATGGCTGATGTCAGATATCCTGAGATTGCGGGGGGTGGAGAAAGGACTGCAGAGAGATTATAAATATGTACTAGAGAAGCAGTCATGCTCAGAGAAGACTTCCTCCCATTTAGGCCAAGCTTGTCTTCTCCCCGCCGCCACCACCACCTGAGCAGTCCTGGCTGGGGCATGCACCTGTACCAAGTGCTGAACACTTTTCACTTGCAGTCCGCATCACAGCGGCCCCATCCACACTGACAACAGGTAGGACACAGGGTAGAAGATGACTAAATTCACCACTGCTCCTCTGAGATAACACAATCAACACCACTTCTCAATAATGTCCCATGTGTAAGACACAGTCCTCTTACATCCAGATATTAACTGAAGACTAGAAGACACTTTCCAACTGCATTGGTATCTCCAAGACTCAAAAACATAGTGCTATAGTGATATGGATAATGGACACCAAGCCCTACATACATAGATCTATGGATAGATACAACCAACTCTTTCAATCCCAGCAACTCCTTCAGTCCTAGCATTTGCCCCACATCCAGCTGATTATCTTCTCAGCCTTCACACCACTGTGTTCAGTAGAGTCAAACCTGGGAAGGAGTTAGCAGGTTTCCCACCACGTTCGTCACAGGCAGGGCAGGCACCCAGCAGTGACCCAGAGGAACTGCCCTCCACCTCTGTCTGTGAGGATGTGACCACCAAGACACTGACAGCTTCCCCCATCTCTTTCTCTCCTCTGAAAGGAGTTCAAGCTGCTGTACTCATGCCTGAAACAAGAAGGAAAGATAAGAATGAGATGGTCTCCCTGTCTCACACACCTCTGCCTTTCCAGCATGCAAGTCATGCCCTGCGTGGCCTATTATGTACAGCACTTAAATATACTTTCTGCTTAACTACAGTCCGAGCTGCCTCTGCACTACTGACACAGAGAACCATCAAAACAGCTCTGGGACCAGCTCCCCATCAGCCAGAAACTCACCTGGCACAGTCGGAAGCCCAGCGGCTGCTCCCACTGGGTAGAGCTCCATCCAGAGCCCACGCACAGCCTGACCCAGACAAAGCACAGGAGGTCGGGGTACGTAAAGGTAACATTTACTGAGAGATACAGAACTGAGTATTATGAAGGACATACATGGATGGAGATGGTAGCGGCACCACTGTGGAGGGCTGCATGGGCCCCCTTCCCAGCATGCTGGGGCGGGGGGGAGGGGGGGAAGGGCCGGATGCTACCAGACAAGTAACACAATGGAGATTACTGTGGCATATGCATTTGTAACAAACAGACCATCGTAACATACATTTCTATGGGATCACATCTAGTGATTATATAAATCCATATAGAGATCGCTGTATAAAAACTTTGTAAAAAATATTTTTAAAAAAGTGTAAAAATGTGCATTTAAAAGCACGGCCGACAAGGACAGCTGGGCTGTAAACATTATACTGAGAGTGTGCTTGTGGGGGGCGCCTGCGCCACCGTGCCACGACAGGCCTGCCCACCAGACGGGGCTTGTGTCAAGTGTTTGCGATTCTTCGTTTCAGGTTTCCATGCGGAGTGCGCACCAGGAGCAGTGGCAGCATCTGGGGATGGCTCCTGCACACTGCTAAGGCAGGAGGCCGTGCGGTCTCTGCTTCGCTGCCCCACGGCCGTTTCTCCCACGTGCAGGCCCTGCTCCCGACCAGCAGCGTACAGTGAGCTGTAGGAAAGAGGGCAAAGTGGGAGCTTTCCCTCATGTCTCCTCACAGGACGTGCTGCAGCAGCATGGGTCCCCGGGGCCACAAGCAGGCTGAAGGGCCGTGATGAGGTATCACAAAGAGGTTGCCCTCACCAGAGCCACTAGCCCTGCTCCTGGGTTCAGTGTCAGAGTAGATGATTGACACGCTCCTGATCTTCTGTGTCCCCATATTTGTTTGGTCCATAAATCCCAAGGAAGCCCACTGGGTCCTGGCTGCACCAGGCCTCGGTGCAAAGTTCTTCATACAGTACATACATTAGAGACCTTGGAAGACCTTGCGCCACTGTCTCCTCCTCCTGGCCCAGAGCCACTTTCACTTTTTCTCTAGCTGTTCCAGCAGCGGGTTGGCTTCACTCTCAGGTGTCTTGATGCTGTCTGTCCGCACGATGCAGGTCGGACGGGGCCGGTTCCGCCTCAGGATCAGCTGGCGG